ATTATACCATGCATTCTATCTGGTCACAATGCAATAAAACTAGAACTCAACAACAAAAATATAGAAAAAAACATGCAAACAGCTGGAAACTAAATATCTCATTGATTAATGAACAATGGGTCCATTGATGAAATAAAAGAGGAAATTAAAAAGTTCCTGGAAGTCAATGAAAATGAAAACACAACCTATCAGAACCTATGGGACACAGCAAAGGCAGTCCTGAGAGGAAAGTTTATAGCCATGAGTGCATATATTAAAAAGACTGAAAAATCCCAAATCAATGACGTAATGATACATCTCAAACTCCTAGAAAAAACAAGAATAAGTGAATCCCAAAACAAATAGAAGGAGAGAAATAATAAAAATAAAAGCTGAAAAAATGAAATAGGAATCAAAAAAACATACAAAGAATTAATGAAACAAAAAGTTTGTTATTTGAAAAAATAAACAAGATAGACAGACCTCTGGAAAACCTGACTATAGTGAGGAGAGAAAAAACCCAAATTAGTAGAATCAGGAATGCAAAAGGGGAGATAACAACAAACACCATGGAAGTCCAGGAAATCATCAGAGACTACTTCAAGAAGCTATATTCAAATAAATCTGAAAATCTTCAAGAAATGGACAGATTTCTAGATACATATGATCATCCAAAACTGAACCAAGAGGATGTTAATCACCTGAATAGATCTATAACACAAAATGAAATTGAAGCAGCAATCAAGAGTCTCCCCAAAAACAAAAGTCCAGGACCTGATGGATTCTCTGCTGAATTCTATCAGACTTTTAAAGAAGAACTGATAACAACCCTCCTTAAACTGTTCCATGAAATAGAAAGGGAAGGAAAACTGCTTAACACATTTTATGAAGCCAGTATTGTACTTATCCCAAAACCAGGCAAAGACACCTCCAAAACTATAGGCCAATCTCCTTAATGAACATTTTGCAAAAATCCTGAATAAAATAATGGCTAACAGAATTCAACAACACATCAAAAAGATCATTCAACATGACCAAGTAGTCTTCATCCCAGGGATGCAGGGGTGGTTCAACATACAAAAATCAATAAATGTAATAAAACACATTAACAGAAGCAAAGACAAAAACCACTTGATCATCTCAATAGATGCAGAAAAAGCCTTTGATAAGATCCAACACCATTTCATGATAAAAGCTATAAGAAAACTAGGAATAGAAGGAATCCCTCAGCATACAAAAGCTATATATGACAAGCCTATAGCCAGCATTATACTTCATGGCGAAAAACTGAAACCATTCCCTCTAAAATCAGGAACTAGACAAGGATGCCCACTATCTCCACTCCTATTCAACATAGTACTGGAATTCTTAGCCAGAGCAATTAGGCAAGAAGAAGGAATAAAAGGAATACAAATAGATAAAGAAACTGTCAAAATATCTCTATTCGCAGACAACATGATCCTATACCTTAAAGACCCAAAAAATTCTACTCAAAAGCTCTTAGATACCATCAATAGCTATAGCAAGGTAGCAGGATATAAAATCAACCTAGAAAAATCATTAGCATTTCTACACACTAATAATGAACAAACTGAGAAAGAATATATGAAAACAATTCCATTTACAATAGCCTCAAAAAAAAATCAAATATCTAGGTGTAAATTTAACAAAGGATGTTAACGACCTCTACAGGAAAACTATAAACTTCTGAAGAAAGAGATTGAGGAAGACTATAGAAAGTGGAGAGATCTCCCATGCTAATGGATTGGTAGAATCAACATTGTAAAAATGGCAATATTCCCAAAAGTAATCTACATGTTTAATGCAATTCCCATCAAAATCCCAATGACATTCATCAAAGAGATTGAAAAATCCACCATTAAATTTATATGGAAACACAAGAGGCCATGAATAGCCAAGGCAATACTCAGTGAAAAGAACAACTCTGGAGGTATCACAATACCTGACTTCAAACAATATTACAAAGCAATAACAATAAAAGCCACATGGTACTGGCACAAAAACAGACATGAAGACCAGTGGAACAGAATAGAGGACCCAAATATAAAGCCACACAACTATAACCAACTTTGACAAAGGCACTAAAAATGTACAATGGAGAAATGACAGCCTCTTCAACAAAAACTGCTGGGAAAACTGGTTAGCAGTCTGCAAAAAACTGAAACTAGATCCATGTATATCACCCTATACCAACATTAACTCAAAATGGATCAAGGATCTTAATATCAGACCACAAACTCTAAAGTTGATACAGGAAAGAGTAGGAAATACTCTGGAATTAACAGGTATAGGCAAGGGCTTTCTCAATGGAACCCCAGCAGCTCAGCAACTAAGAGATAACATAGATAAATGGGACCTCATAAAACTAAAACGCGTCTGTTCATCAAAAGAAATGGTCTCTAAACTGAAGAAAATACCCACAGAGTGGGAGAAAATATTTGCCAGCAGCACATCAAAAGACTGATAAACAGTATATATAGGGAACTCAAAAAACTAAATTCTCCCAAAATTAATGAACCAATAAAGAAATGCGGAAGTGAACTAAACAGAACTGTCTAAGAAGAAATTCAAATGGCCAAAAACCATATGAAAAAATGCTCACCATCCCTAGCAATAAAGGAAATGCAAATTAAAACCACACTAAGATTCCACCTCACTCCTGTTAGAATAGCCATCATTAGCAACACCACTAACAACAGGTGTTGGCGAGGATGCAGGGAAAATGGAACCCTAAACCACTGCTGGTGATAATGGAAACTGGGGCAATGCTCTGGAAAAAAAATTTGAAGTCTCCTTAAAAATCTAAACATAAATGTGGCATATGATCCAGTAATCCTAATCCTGGGAATATACCCAAAGGAATGAACACAGGTTACTCCAGAGGCACATGCACACCCATATTTTTTGCAGCACTATTCACAATAGCCAAGTTATGGAAACAACCAAGATGTCCCACTACTGATGAATGGATCAAGAAAATGTGTTAGTTATACACAATGGAATTTTACTCAGCCACAAAGAAGAATGAAATTTTGTCATTCGCAAGTAAATGAATGGAACTGGAGAACATCATTCGGAGTGAGGTTAGCCAGGCTCAGAAGACCAAACATCATATATTTTCCCTCATATGTGGACTTTAGATCTAGGGCAAATACAGCAATGTGGTTGGACTTGGATCACATGACAAGGGGAAAGCACATAACAGGAGATATGGGAATAGGTAGAAAATCCAAAGCAGGAAAGAGTTTGATGTCCCCACTCCAGAGGAACTAATACAGAAGCCTTAAAATGACAGAGGTCAACATGAGAAGGGGATCAAGCAGGAACCATTGTAAAGATCAGTTAGAGATGAATCAACTTGGGTTGTAACACATTTGTACATGAAATCAATATTAGGAATCTCTCTTTATAGCTATCCTTAACTCAACTAGCAAAACTGCTTTGTCTTCCTTATTATGCTTGTGTCTTTTCTTCAACAAAATTAGAGATAAGGGCAGAACAGGTTCTGCCTGGAAGTGAGGAATCTTGGGGGAGAGAAGGTGGGGGCGGGAGGCAGGGGGAGAAATGACTCAAACAATGTATGCACATGTGAATAAATGAATAATTAAAAAAAATAGAAATTACAAAAAGAACAAATGGATGTTCTGAAGTAAAAAGTACAATAAAATACAAATTTTACTAGAAAAAAATAAAATTATTTTGCTAGGAGTAGAGTGTGGCATTTACTACTTATAGAAAATAGAACAAAGGAACTTCTTGCATTAGTTTTAAATGGGGCATGCAGTAAGTATTATGACTATCATGTGGCCAGAGGCTGAGCTGAGGCTAGGGGTGCACTGTGTCAGTGAAGGAAAAGGTGAGGGAAGGAAGAACTATTTTTGTTTTATTTTTAGATTACATGTGTGTTGCATAACTTTTAGTGGTATGAAAATTATTGTATGAAAGAAATTTTAATATAGTAGGGGTTGTAATAATATTATTGTGATGGGTTAAAAATTGTACTAAGTCATACCATTTTCACTTTTATTCATTCTCACTACATACTTGTATATATATGTATATGTAAATGTACATGGAAGATACTTGAAATGTCTAAACTTTCTTATTCAAATAAGATACATTCTATGCTTGTGTCAAGAAATTAAAAAAATTAAAAAATAAATGGGTGTGCAGGAGGCTGTCGGGAGAGACAGTAGGGGTGATGTAACCAATGTACAATATATGCCTATTTGGAATTGTCATAATGAATTCACCTGTACAACAAATGCACCCTAATAAAAAATTAATGGAAAACTAAACAAAAAATTCTTATAATATATCGCATATATCATACTTAAATTCACCCCCTCCATAATTCTCCTTTATCTCCTATTTCCCCCATTATTGGAATAGTTCCAATAAGCCTCATTTTTCCTTTTACATACATGTGTACACAGTATTTGCACTACATTCACGCTTCTACACTCTTTTACCACAATCTTGCCCTCCCACGGCTACCAAACCCCCAGGCAGGAGCAGATTTGTGCAAACATGCAGTTTGGGGGAGAGAAAAGTAATGTCAAAATTCTAAAATCTCATCCCTTTCCAATCACAGCAAAAAAACAGTTTCCCTGTCATAAGATAAGAGCACTAGTACTCCACAGAATTCTGGTTTTGACTACTAAGAAGTGATGGAGCAGGGATTGAGAGAGGATTTGCCAAGTAAACCAAGCTGGCTTTGAACTCATGACTATCTTGATTCAGACCCCTGAGTTCTGGAATTACAGGCATAGGTCACCCAGCCTGACTCTCACTTTTCATTTTATTGCAAAAACTGATTCAACTAAAGATGAAAAAAAAATTCAAAAATCTTTGCAGTAAGTTTGGGGATGTAGCACTGTGTGTTTACCTAGTATGCAATAGGTCCACACAAATGGAATATCAAAGACAATGAACAAAAGTCTCCATATATTCATTGAAGCAATTCATTTCTCCCATCTGTAAATCTCCAAAATCAAGACTTATCTTCCCACCCAAACTGTCATCAGTGCTTTCTTTACATCCTTGTTCCTCAGACTGTATATTAATGGGTTCAGCATGGGGATCACTATGGTATAGAAAACAGAGGACACTTTTTCCTGGTTCAGGGAGTTATTAGAAGGAGGTTTGAAATACATGAAAGTGATAGAAACAAAGAATAGCTCCACAGCCATGAGATGAGAGCTGCAAGTTCCAAAAGGTTTGGACCAGCCCTCTGAGGATCAAATTCTAAAGATGCTGCAGAAGATGAAGGCATAGGCAACAGCCACAGCTACAGTGGGCTCCAAGGTGTTGAGTCCTCCAATGACAAAAACTTGAAGCACACTGAGATGTGTGCTGGAACAGGAAAGATTGAGGAGGGGAAGAACATCACAGGAATAATGACTGATGATGTGGGATTTGCAGAACCTCAATTTCATCATGACACTTGTATGGGCCACAGCAGACAGAATACCCAGGATGAAGGAGACCAGCACTGGCAGTGGGCAGAGCCAAGAGAACATGATCACCTTATAAAGCAGTGGACCACAGATGGCAACATAGCGATCATAGGCCATGGCAGTCAGGAGGTAACCCTCAGCCACCACAAAGACCACAAAGAAGAAGAGATGGGCCATACACTCAGAATAAAGGACTATATTCTCCTTCCCTAGGAAGTTCAGCAGCATTTTGAGGGTAATGACAGAAGAATAGCATAAATCAATAAAGGATAAGCTGCTGAGGAAATAGTACATGGGAGTGTGAAGCAGTGGGCTGACGGTGATCAGGAAGATCATGCCCAGGTTCCCCACCACTGTCACCACATAGACTCCTAGGAATAGGAGGAAGAGGGGCAGCTGGAGCTCTAGCTTCTGTGTTAATCCCACTAAGACAAAAATGGCTTCTGTGGAGTGATTTCCAGTTGCCATTCTTCTTTGGAGATTTCTGTGGAAATGGAACATAGATTTACATTGATGAGGACCTTAAGTCAAAGTGAAATCAAGCCTGTAAAAGAGAACAGAAATTCTAAGTCATAGTTTTCATTGTCTCTGATCCTAATACTTCTGTCCTCCCACTCTAAATCACCCTAAACCTCCTCCAAATTGGTCACAAATTTAAGTGACAAAAATGTTCCCTGCTTGACTTAGAAGACTTTTCCTCCTGAATTTTACAACAAAAAAAACACCTTCTACATGAGGAGAATGTCTAATACCAAATTACTGACAATAAGCTAATAGAAACAAGTAATTCTGGATTTTAATTAATGTTTCAGTTTTCCAAAACTCTGAGGCCTTCAGGCATCTCTCACAATGTCTGCAGAGAGGGAGAAAATGAACCCAAAGCCTCAGGGAATTGAAAATATTCTTTTACCTCCAATTGGAGTGTGGGTGGGCATGGGGTTGGGTATAAGGTAACCAATCATTCTATGAAGAAAAACATCTCTACTCATTAGGGTCTCATCACCAAAGGTCAGAAATATTCGTTCAACAGCTCCTTTGTCCTCACTAAGCTGTCACAGGGCAGGAAGCAGGAGCTCCACCACTGCTCTCCCCAATGAAAGTAAATCTCCTCTCATCCAGCTGTTTAGCTTCAAAGTGTATAATGAGAGACTCCTCACACCTCAATCGTTCCCAGGAATGTGTTCAAGTTGGAAACCTGGAAGTGAGTTACTATCCCCTTACATATTAGACTCAGAAATGCCACTTAACACCTCTTACAAAGGAGTAAAAGATGCTTCTGGGTGCCTGAAAACATATTGTTATCAGTGTAAATCTCGAATCTCCAATGCCTGGTATCTATCCTGGCTTGGGACCTGGGTACTGTCATTCTGTTCTTCATTTTAGAAGTGACAACCAGAGACAATAATGATGAACCTGCTCCTTCTTTCCCTCCTCCTCTTCTTCCCCCAACTCCTCTTTCTTCTTCTTCTCTTACTATTTCCTCACTGATTGAATATTACTTCTATATGTTTTATCTATATTAATTCTTCAAAATCTTGAAATAGCATATATTATTTATATGCCTGTTCTAATTAAAACACAAAAAATTTAAGATTAGAATCAGGATACAAGTCCAGCATCTCTCCATAACCTTTAATCAAAATTATGAGGTAACGAAGTTTGTGCTGTATCTCTGGTATGTCTGTTTTTACCTCTTCCAGGATGATCACGGTTCTCATGTTTTCTTTGTATATGAGCCCTGTGCCATACCCTTCCTGTTGCACACAATCTTGATTTGTCCTTTCTTAGGCATGTTATGAAATCTGGACAATGCTATAACATCCAAAAATGTTCACAGTTCATTGTGGTCTAAATACTTTCAGTCTTATGATGAATTAGTTAAGATTCTAACCCATTACTTAAAAATTAGCAAAAAGGAGAGTCTGGCACTGATCTCTCTCACAATTTTATGTAAAGTTGATGGGGGCTTGAAGAAGATATAGGAAAAAGACAAAAATGTGCATTTGCTTTCAGAAGACCTTATTCAACAGAACATTAAATGTTCAAAAAGGGCTAAAACAATATTTTCCCATAAAATCCTTAAAGAGTTACACTGAAACACTGTTCTTAGCCTACAGGTACATTTTTCCAATGATATTCAAGATATTCTATGAAGAAAAACAAAACAAAACAAACAGATGCTTGTATTTTCAATGAAGTATTTCCATATGCCTCCTGTGGAACTTTGGAGGGAACATTTGTGCATTAAAAACTCTAAATGGCCCAACTGGAAAGAAATCTGCACTTTGTAAGCTCAATAATTCCTACAACCACTTAATAACAAAAATGATAAATGAGCTTGACAAGGTAAATTTATAGTACACTCAGTTAACCAATGGACAGTTCTTGGTGTCAGTGGAGGTTTATCTTCAAGAACTGAATTTTACTGCTGACCAGATTTCAACATTAAGCAAGTTGTACAGTGAAAAACTCAGTGCTCTGTTCTAATATCTTCTGTGATATGGAAATGAAAATACTCATTTCAAAATATGGTTCTGATCAATAAATGAAGTTAACAACTTATTTTCTTAAAACAGTAATTGAAATTTAATGTGGCATATATTTTTAAAATATGGTTGAATATAGAGATATAAATAATGTGGAGAGATGGAAATGAACCAGTTCTGTGAAGAAGATAGACTCTTATCCTAGACCCTTCACCTTTGTTTGACTAATAAAAATTTGTTAGACATTTTAGCCTATTTAGGCTATTAAGTATTTGTGACTCTAGATTTGAAAATTCTGAGAGAAGTTGAAAGTACTGGATCTTTTTTGGAGGCACAGACAAGAATTAGGGCATTGAATTTTCTTTAACCTAAAAAGAATATGTTTGGCAAGTGTTATGAAGACCAGAAGGAAACAAGAAAGGCTATCTGAGTGAATGAATTCTTGATCTATTTACCACTGGCCTCAGGATATTTCTTTAAGAAAAATGAAAGGGGAAGAATTTTCATTTAATATTTAGTTCACAAATGAATATTGTACCAGGACTGTATCTGGCTTCATTATGTTTACATCTTAAAGACACATGAAAGATGGTATATAAGAAGGCAAGCAAAACTAATAAATACCTAAACAGGAATGATTTCAGGGTATTTAATGTTTCACATGAAAATGCCAATGAAGCTGTCTGTACGAGAGGTGGTTGAGTTCAGACCTGGGGCTATTCCTGTAGATTGTGTGAGGTAAGTCATATAGAAATTATAAATCAGTAAAGGAGATAAGAGGAAATAATGGAGTAAATACTTCTGGGTAAAGTCGAAGTGTTGTATTTGGGTTAGCACTGCTATCAATCCAATTGCCTGTATATTAGATGTGACACAATTGCTGTACTTGGAACTGGACACTCATCTGAGTCCTGCTCAGAGATTGAACTTCTTAGAAATTGCTTGTCTTGCTCAGGTCAGAACTCCCTGTTTGGCTAACAAAGAGAAGCTCTTTAACTGGTTGCTGCAAATGTTTCTATGTCAAGGGATGAGTTATTTTGTTGGCTAAAAGTAAAATATCACATTTTATCTGATAAAAATTCTCAGCACCTGGAAGCATAACATATTTGTCTTCTACAGTCTTAAAAGAAAGAGGAACGTGTGATACACAGCTTTTATTTGAAGTTTAGTGAGCTAGGGAACTCGTTAGGATCAAACACACTCATGCATGTACAAATCCCCCAGGATGTATAGTGCCTGGAGAATAAGGGGATGCTCAGCATTTTGTAGCCCCTGATATCTGTCTGAAGTTTGCTCATGGTCTAAAAAAAGTTCCTTATTTATGATCTCATTTTGTAAGTGAGGATTCTACAACAGATTAGTCATTCCCCAAATCAGTTTCTTATTTTTGACTGAAGATTCATCAACCAGTAATAAGAAAAGCTGGTTATAACAATATAAATATTTCCTAAAGCTAATTTTCTTTTCAATTTAAGACTGTCCTTCTTGGAATTGTCCTGTTTACTTTTTAAAAGGTTTTCTGGGTTCAAAGTATTCTTGCCTTTATTTTATGGTTCTAATAGTAGATTATAGTTATATTTTTAGTTGCTTGGTTATTGTTATTTGTGTATTGTGTTTGCATGCTTTTACTTGACACACCAAATTTTAGGCAATGCTTTAATTCCCTCACTGAAATATTATTTTCTTAGAAAATCCAAATTCTGAAACTGATTAACACAGGATAGAGTGACTATTTGTTCGTATCCAAGAGACTTTGGTCAGAATCTTCTAGGACCCTAAGAAAAAATTTCCATGACCTCTTTCCCACGAAGCAGGAGTCAGTAATTATTCTGCCTCTGCTCCTGTACTGTATCCTATGACCTTAAGTTATGTCATTCAATGGCTTAAGCAGCTTTCTTGGAATTTTCACCAGCCTAAGGTGCTTCAATTCCATCTGAAATATATTCTCCTGATATAGAGCCATTGTCAAAGGATATGTGGCACTTAACTGTCACTTCAGCTTTCTTATGCCTTTCCTATCTCAAATGCCATGTATTTTGCATTTTTTTTACTTTTTATTTTTTCCAGTGAATTTCCTCCTTCAATGAGGTTCATAAAAACGTATCAAAGATCTCCAGTAGTTCGCATACACATAATATGTTAATAAAACTGATTCTGAACTCAATTAACACACCAGCAAGTTTAAGTTCCAAATCTCCTCTAATAAAAATAATGCCCATTCATTATATCATAGATGCCCATTGCATAGTAAACATTGGCTGAGAAGCTTCACACATGTAATTTTCTTTTGACCAAAATAAATGACTAAGGAAGTCAGTGAGACTCCAACATGAGGAATCATCATTTATAAAACATGATCCAAGTATATTATTTTCTGAATTTCTTAGAACTATAACTTTTATGATAAGAAAACCAACACCAGATACAGCAGGGTAATATTTGTGGTGTAAATATTGTTTAATTTAAGAGTAATGTTCAAAACACTTTAAATTTCTTCATTGGAATTTTTCTTGATGAAAAGTAGAAAGAATCATGGGTTGACTTTTAGGATTCCTAAATGTCAGTGTGTGTGTGTGTGTGTGTGTGTGTGTGTGTGTGTGTGTGTTATTGGGGATTGAACTCAGGGCCTCACACTTGGTAGGAAGGTACTCTACCACTTGAATCACTCCACCAGTCCTTTTTACTATAGTTTATTTTTTATAAAGTCATTTGCATTTTCTGGGCCAGCCGTGGGCCCAGATCCTTCTACCTCTGCCTCCTGAGTAGCTGAGATTACAGGCATGAACCACTATTCCCAGTCCTAAACTTTAATCTTCTATGTCGAAAATAGTATCATCTATTTCATAGGGAAGTCGTGCCAAGAGAAAATGTACAATTCTAAATGTAATTTGAAAGTAGGAAGGACTTTAGGAAGTAAGAGGATAATAGATTTCACAACTCATCCCTATGATCGTAGAAGTAATGTCCTACCATGTTTATCTGTTCTTTCATCCATGCCAATGTCCT